GAAAGAGAGGGAGAAAGAGAGAGAGAGAGAGAGTGGCGGAATTAAAAGAGTTGTAGAGTTTTGTTATCAGTATTTTTGTACAGTCTTTACGAGGTTATTGCGCATATCCTTTGGGAACAGCAGGGGTCGTGACTTCCTGTCGCTGGAAGATTCCTGCGTGGGGCAGGCCCGTGCGCGCGCCCGACCCGTGTCAGTGGCAGCACGCTCCCCGCGCCGCGCCTCGCCGGCCGGGGCTGGGGGGTTCACTCAGTCTTGAACCACCCGGCCGGCCGCGCGCACCGCGAGCGAGGCATCCGGCACACCGCGGGCCAGAGCGGCTCAGAGGCAGACGGACGCGGTACCCGCTCGCCGCGACCAAGTATACCTTGCAATGTACGTGTGGAGGACAAAAGTGTGCACCCTCATCTGAACCCCTACTCGAGTTGCCTCCCCCTGCTGTGTGCGTTTTGGTCCTTCTGAGGCAGTCTGGTACCTTAGGCATACGCTCGGCACATCCTTTTCCCCCGGGTCATTCGGCAAAGAACCGGAGCTCGGCGCCTGCGAGACTCGGGGTAGGCGAACCCGCAGTACACGCGTGCGCAATATGTGCGATGTTGCCTACCTACCGGTAGAGGGTGGCAAAAGAAACTGAAGGTCAACGAGGTTAGGGGTTGTTGTGGGGTTGGGGGTGACATGACACTTGCGAAACTAAAGTTTTTGACACATCACTCAACTCGATTGGACACCGGAAAAAATGTCGCACTGCGCATACCAAGGAGAACGTCATAGTCAAAGTGTTGTCATTTTGACCCGATTAGTCAAAATCTAGTCCCCCCTCCCAGGTAGGAACTTGGACGTCAAAGTGACCTGCACAGGCCCTATTTCGACCCCGCTCAGACTTTGTGTTCTCACTACGCATCTGTCAGCGGTTGGACCTAGTGTGGCACATCACCGAGGTGTTTTGACATATCTATAAACTTTGAACGCGTTGTGCAACCTTTTCCCGATGTCCGATCAAGTTGAATGAGGTGTCAAAAATTATAGTTTTGCATGTGTCACGTTAATAATTAGAGCCCGCCCCCCTCTAACCTAGCAAACCTTCCGTTTTTTGCCACCCTCTAACCTACCAGGCGCTTTAAGGGCTCACAGATAGGCCTTCAATTTGTCCGATACGTGCTGATGAATGATGGACACGTGCGTACACTGTAAAATGCTGACGTCTAAATGCTTACAAAACGTTACAAACAATTTTCGTTCTTTATATTGCAAGGAAATTGTTTGTATTGCAAAGCGATTGTTTGCAAGGCTAGGAAGGTTTTTACGAACAATCGCTTTTCATTTACGAGCTATTTGTTCGTAAGCTAACGAACAATTAGCTCGTAATACAACGCTTTAAAATCCTTCGTAAGCTACGAAGGTTTTAGTTTGCATTTACGAACCAATTGTTCGTAAGCAATTAACAATGTACTTTCTGGGCGATCGCTGAATGAGAAGATCCCGCGTGCCCTATAATGTGTCAAAAGAAATAAAACATGTCGAAAAGAGAATGCAATGGGAACACAATGATTGTTTCTAGTTTTTCAAAGTGTCAGAGAGACGGCTCATGATCAGTATCGCTTGAGGAGGTGAGTGCCAGCCTTTGGGTCTCGTCCGGCCGCATCAGCGCCTGCCGGTGCAGCACCGAAGGAAGGCCGGTGGGCGGGCAGCGCGCGCCACGCCCCGCCACCCGCCAGCATGCCCACCGTAAGTCCAAGGTGGTCCAGCGCCTGGTCGCCACCGCCGCTTCCGCGTCCCTCAGGGCGGGAGACGCACGCATGCACGCACGCACTAACAAACGCACACTCGCACACAGATTGGGCATGCAATCCAAAATTTCCCAGAAAATATTCCAGAAACAAATCGAAAAAGTATTGGAAAAATTTAGATTTTTCGTGATTTTTTTTTAGTTTTTTTAATCTTCAATTTTTTCAAAAAAAAAAAAAGAAAAAAACACATACTGTCTTGGACAATTAAAATTGCCAGGTCGGTCGCACCAGCGCAGCTCCGGTGAACCCCTCCGCCTTGCACTCCGCTCCGCCGCGGGCCGATTTTATTTGGAATCCAGCGGGTGCGCGGGGCCGGTGCACGCCGGTGCAGTAACCTCTCCGGTCAACGTCCTCGTCGCCCTGCCCTGCTGCAGGCTGCACGGCCGGCTTGCGTCTCGTGGCTCGCGCACTGCCACGCCGTTTTGTTTCAGAAGTCTGCAATTATTCAATGTGCACTGCACTTCAAAAATTATTAGTTTGTTTGAGGAAAAATCTAAATCAAGAATCTATCTTGAAAGCAGATGATACCAATTTAATACCATAGTAAACCTGTGCTTTAATATTCATAGAATGGTTTTTATTTCTAGTGGTTTTGCATAATTTTTTGATGTCTTACTTGTTTCTTTGACAGTGATTATTATAAAGACTTGTGGTAGTGTAGGG